GGGGAGAGAGAGGGCACTTGATGAATGAGGGTGCAGGGAATGTTCCTCCAGGGACAGAGTAGAAGGCATGAAGCCGACAGTTGTGGAAGGAGGAGTGATGGGAGAGGACAGAGAAGCTAGTAGGAAGGGAGGTTCTAACCTATCTCCTAAGGGTGATGTATGTACGAGGCCCCATGGTGTAACATTGGGTAATGCATCACGTTCATCATCCACCTTTCCATCTTCCCATACCCTCTGTGTGTAATGTAAGTAAGGTTTTTTCCTGGCATTAATCCTGTCAGAAGGGTCCACTTCATGAGTCATCTCCCTCCAAAGTGCTCTGTTCAGTGCCATATCCTCTATCACACCACATGCTAACATACCTTCCTTTAGGACATCCCATGACTTCTTAGGTCAGCTTCTTCTCTTTTCCCTTCAGTCTTGATCTCTTGGACTCTCTTACCCATGTAGTTGTCAGGACCGACCCATCTGAGCCTGAACTCCCTCATTTTTCATTCATGGATGTTACTTTGAGCATGTCTTTAACATACACATTCCTCGGGTGGTCTTTCTCACTTAGACCACTCATCCAGCTCAACATTTACATTTCTGGGGGATGGATCATTTGCTCATGTTTCTTCTTCTTTTGCCCAACACTCACTGCCGTACAGTAAACGTCGATGAACCAGTTTTATAGACCTTCTCTTTTAATCTTACTGGTATCTTCCAATTGCATGCTATGCCACTTATCTCTCTCCATTTGAGCGCCATTTGAGTTCTACATGTCGTAAAACTGGGTTAAATAGTGACACTAAATAAATACTAGCAGTTGAAAGCCTGTGCTGTCGCACAGGAATAATTCCTAATGTCTAAGCCAAAAATGTCTGAGAACTTAAAAACTGCACTGTAACAGGCAAATGATGACTGAAAGGAGAGATACTCTAAACATCAAGAGCTCTCAGCCATGCTTGTAGCTGTTTCCTTCACTTCACACTGACTCTACAGACATCCTCAGCTTGGATGTGATGTTTGGGGTTATTGTGTATGCTGGTTATGTTGCTGTGTTGATTTGTGTGTGGTTGTGTTGTGCTGGGAGAGCTATGTGGATTTGCACAGGGGGCATCTGGGCCTATGAGTGTGTCAGCTAGTCCAAGTAATCCACCCTCTATGCAGTCTTCCTCATACAACCAATTAATTTGTTGCATGCAAGTTAGCTGTAGAATAAAGGTGGTGACTGGTTGAGTTTCCCTGGATATCACAATGGTCTAGGACTCTAGGACTCTTGGCAGGGCCGAAATACACGCCTTACTGAACTCATGGGAGTAATTCATAAATTCAAAATGGCTGAGAACTTAAAAACTGGATGGTAACAAACCACAAAACCTGATATTCCACCGGGTGATATTCTGAACAAAAGGAGCTCAACCACGCTTGTTGTCACTTCCCTCCCTTCCCACTGACTCAGCAGACATTTTAGGTTTCAGAGTGACACACAGAATGACATTCTTGGAATCTTATTTTATAGATTTAAGACTCCAGAGGTGAGTTACAAAAATTATAGAAAGAATCTTTATGAAGAGTAAAAGATTAATCCTACTGAATTTATCTGAACCTGCTTGGGTGAAGTGGGGAGTGCGAACGCCAGTTCAGTCCCCTGCCACAGAAATTTTCCCCACCGAAGCAGAACGTCATCGTCATAATTCACTATTATTGG